CAAAAATTTGTCAACTGATAAAATATTGCTGATATCATGATAAACATCTTATCAGTTGATTACTTCTTGATATCTTTAACCTGCATCGAGATAATTAAGCTACAGTGAACTTGAACATGAACGTTAGATGTTGTTGCTTGATTTATTTCAATCAAATTTATCTCATTTCCTGTGAGAGATATCGAAAAATAGTCAACTGATAAAACGTTTATCATGATATCAGCGACATCTTATTAGTTGACAATTTTTTGATATCTCCTGAAGAGACCGAGATAATTTGATTGGAAAAAAGAGCCTTTTAACTTTTACTGATCACATTTTCCTAATAACTTTTTTGTACTTTAATAGGCTGATTCATCATCAAAAATTAAAAAGAAAAAGTTCAAAATTTCCAGACTATAGACAATACAAAAAAATGAGTCCAGTCGCTTTTTGTGGTTTTTGTTGATTAGAAAAATGAATACAGAAACAGCAAAGATTAAAAAGATGATCAGAAAGTAATAAGAATAATTTTTGAGACAGAAAATCTCAGAATCTCAGAATCTCAGAAGTTCGGAATTTTAGATTTTTAGAATTACAGAACTTCAGAATTTCAGAATCTCAGAATCTCAGAATCTCAGAATCTCAGAATCTCAGAATCTCAGAATCTCAGAATCTCAGAATCTCAGAATCTCAGAATCTCAGAATCATAAAATCTTAGAATCTCAAAATCTCAGAATCTTAGAAACTCGGAAACTTCAGAATTCCAGAACTCCAGAATTCCTGAATTTCTGATTTTCAGAATTCCGAAATTTCCTATTTTTCTCACCTGGAATACAAATCAAAACCGACGAGAACTCGGTGATTTTATCCAAAAGCATCACGAATTTCAAATCTTCAGTGATATTTGCCATTTTTCTAGAAAAATTACAAAAATTTCTTATTTATTTTGATTACGTCTGTATTTATAGTCTAAAAAATTATCGAGTTTTTCTAGAAATAATAGAAAAAAAAAACTGAAAAACAGTCTGAAATTTGCTATCTAGGGATTTTTATTTTCTGAAAAATATATGAATTTTTATTTTCAGACAGACATCAGATTATAGAAAAAATAATAGGAAAAATCTGGAAATTACTACAAAAAATTCTTGTTTTTTTCTACAAAATTTTGTGAAATAATCTAGACTTCTGGAATTTGGATTGTTCGAGATTTTTGAATTTTTTGAAAAAGTGCAAAATACAAAAAAAGAGGGAAAATTACAGAATTTTTGGATAGCTTGAAAATCAGAAATTCTCAAAAAAAAAACTCTGAAATTCTAGAAATTACGAAATCTCAGAAATAGTTTTAAAAAACAGAAAGTCCGGAAATTCAAAAGTTCGAAAATTCCAAAATCTGAAAATGTAAAAATCTGAAAATTTGAAATTCTGAAATTCTGAAATTTGGGAATACTGAAATTCTGAAATTCTGAAATTCTGGAATCCTGAAACTCTGAAATTCTAAAAATCCAAAATTTTAAAACTCTGAAGTTCTGAAATTCTGAAATTCTAGATGAAACCCGAAATTCTGAAAATCTGAATTTCTGAAAATTTGAAAACCCGAAATTCTGAAAATCCAAACATTTGAAAATCTGAAAATATGAAAATTTGAAATTCTGAAATTCTGAAATTCTAAATTTTTTAAATTATGGAATGTCTGCAAATTTGAAATTTTCGGAATTCTGAAATTCTGGAATGCAGAAAATTTGAAAATCCTCAAATCTGATATTTTGAAAATCTGGAACTCGAAAGATCTGAAATTGCGAGATTCTGAAAATCAGAATTTCTGAAAATTTGAAATTCTGAAATTCTGAAAATCCAAAATTTGAAACTCTGAAAATACGAAAATTTGATATTCTGGAGTTCTGGAATTATGAAATTCTTAAATTTGAAAATTCTGAAATTCGGGAATTCTGAAACTCTGAAATTCTGAAAATCCAAAATTTTGAAATTCTGAAAATTCAAAAATCTGAAAATCTGTAATTATGAAAACTTGATATTCTGGAATTCTTAAAATTTGAAAATCAGAAAATCTGAAATTCTAAAATTCTGAAATTCTGAAAATTCAAAAATTTGAAAATCTGAAATTCTGAAATTCTGTAAATCCACATTTCTATTTTTTCATTTTTTCGTTCCCAAAAATATGTTTTCGTCCAACCGTCTCCACAAAAATGAAACAATTATTTTTCAAAAGTTCCAGGAAAATTTCATTTTCGGCTAAAAAATGGGGAGGAAACAAAGAGTGGGTGGAGGAGAAAAATAACAACAACATGGAAATTTGATTTTTGAAAAAAAGAAGTGCATGTTCGTAATAGTGTACTGATTAGCCAGACGATGTCTCGTCTGTTGATACCTTTCGCCACGTAGAGGCTCAGTACATGAAAGGGTCCCCCCGCCCGTGGTCTCCGAGGACCATTGTTGGATAATTGCAAAAGTTCCTTTTCCCTTGTAAGAAGCCATGCATACGATTTTTAATTTTCTTAAATTTGTTTCAATTTTTTCGATCTTTGATTGAATCTTTTGCTACTGGGGGACGTTCAGTGATAAAACACCTAGCCATGAACCCCAAAACATGGCGACCCTTAAGACCTTCTAGTACTTTTCTCGCAATCGACTAATCAAAAGATCAGTCAGAAATGAAACAACCAAAATCAGCGTATGCATTGAGCACTATAGGACTAGGATAGGACTTGACGAGTACTACAAAACGGTATTATTTGAAATATTGGGTCTGCTTTTTTTGCTCCTTTTGCTCTGTAACTCTGTTCATAAACAAAATACAGTATTCCCATACTTGTGAAATTTCGGCCCGGCCCGGTTCGGCCCGGCGGCCCGGCCCGGGACAAAACAAAACAAAATTTTTAGGGCCCGGCCCGGCCCGGCGGCCCGGCAGAAAAAAAAAACAAAATTTTTGAAAAATGAATCATGCTGTTTTTGTTTTTGAAAATGAATTTATTGATTTTTAGAATGTATTGAAAAATAACTCGAAGAAAAAAAAACACTGAATACCTTTTTTCGAAACAATGATTCAACTTTTCGCTCAAGATTTTGAAGTTTGCGGTAAACTTCCGGGCCGGCCCTTCACAAGTATGAGTATTCCAAATAATACCGTCTTGTAGTACTCGTAGAGCTCTATCATACCTAATTGAGTTGGTTCGAAAACATTGATTCTGAAAGAAGTTATGGCAGGGCCCGCGAAGGCCCGGCAAAGGCCCGGATTACAAGTATGGAGAAAGGGAGGACGAACGAGTGGAAACTAGGATGAATTGCGCCGAAAGCGCACCAGCCAGCTGTGTCAAGAAAAGACTGACTTTTTAATGATCGAGAGTGTTGATCGAGAGTGACTAATTCGAAATCTGCGAACTTGAAAATCTGAAAATCGAAAAAATTCGTTTTGGATTTTTTTCGGTTTTTGAAAATTCGAAAGTTCTATCAGAACTTTTTTTTCACATTTTCAGCTATTCGAAAATTGCAATTCTGGAATCACCGAAATTGTGTTGTAAATCTAATTTCTGAAATCCGAAATCCGAAATTCCGGAATTCTCAAAATCATCCAAGTATTAAAGGTGGGGGGACATGAAAAAAATAATGTTCTCGAAATTCCGTTCAAAGATGCCCCTCGAGGAGTTGAACTTGTGAGGGCGATGATTGAGGGTGCGGCGCCGCTACCGACTGAGCCACGCGGGCAAAGAGAAAGCGCTCGCCCGATGGCATACATAAAGGCGAGGACGACAGCTGTACGCAGAGTGACATTAAGCGTTGTACACCGTGACGGTAGAATGCATACTCTAGCTACAAAAAACTACGAAAAATCTCCTGTCCCCCCACCTTTAATAATAATATTAATAAGTGTTAATAATTAATAATTAATAAGTATTAATAATTGAAAATTCTAAAAATCCTACAATTTTTTTTTCGTTTACTGCGAAATGTCAAAATGTTACGATGTAACAAAAAAGCTATTTTTAGCTTTATGACAAATCTGAAAAAGACAACAACAACATATTTCTAGACATATACGTAGTTTTTTGTTTTGGGTTCAGATTTTTTTTTTTGAAAAACTTTTTTTTAATAATAAAAGATACTGTAATTCTGAAATTTTGAGTTGAAAGTTTCATAGTCTGATTTTGAATGTGTTGTTTCAATATGATGAAAATATTGTTTTAATCGATTTTGAAACATGTAGTTTGTAGTTTTTGTAATCTCTTTGTAGTCAAACAAATGAAACGGTTTATTGAAGAAAAGGGCAAACCGGAAGACCCGTTAAACAAAAACTTTACTTTTTTGAAAAATTTCAAAAAAGGAGAATTGACGTTTGGAAAATTCGAAGATTTAGAAGACGTTGCGAAGACGTGAATTCAGAAGACGTCACCAGAATTTTCGGGAAAAAATTTGGCGGCGAACTTGATTATTGTTCATCTGATCGACACTTTGAACGCGCATCAACTCGTTGACCATATTTTCCAGAACGTCCTGTTGTGGAAATTGACGAATTCTTACGTCTTCGCCGTTATCATCTATTAACGACGTCTGAAAATTTTAAACATGTTCACAAAGTTTGAAATTAGAAACATTGGAATTTTTGTGATTTTTATCAATTCTGAAAGACTAGAACAGATTTTCAGAAAAAAAATTCGGAATTTTTTCAATTTTTCAAACGAAGATCAAAAGTCAAAATCTGAAAATTTTCAGCAAGAAAAACTATTATTGTTTCAACCTGATCATTTATTTTTCCAATTCTAATCGGCATTAGAAAATTTTTTTACATTTTTAGAAATAATTTTCAGATGTTGTGTTTTTTGTGACTAAAAACCAGAGTATTTTTTGTTAGAATTAGTCACGTCTACAGAATTTTTTATTGCTGAAATTCGGAAAAAATTTGGATGATATGGCCACTGAAATTCTGAAGTTCTAAAAATTAGATTTGAAAATTTGGCTTTTTGAAATTTCAAAAACAAATTTTGTAACACCAAAATTTGAGGAATTCCAGAAGATTTTGAACTTTCGAGATTTGAAATTCAGAATTTTGAAACTTTTGAATTCAGATTTCGATTTGGAAAGTTTGAAATTATGAAATTCAACAATTTCAGAATCTTAGAATCTCAGAATCTGAGAATTCCAGAATTTCAGAAACTCAGAATCTCAGAATTCCAGAATTTCAGAATCTCAGAATCTCTGAATTTCAGAATTCCAGAATTTCAGAATCTCAGAAATTCAGAATCTTAGAATCTCAAAATCTCAGAATCTCAGAATCTCAGAATCTCAGAATCTCAGAATCTCAGAATCTCAGAATTCCAGAATTTCAGAATCTCAGAATCTCTGAATTTCAGAATTTCAGAATCTCAGAAATTCAGAATCTTAGAATCTCAAAATCTCAGAATCTCAGAATCTCAGAATCTCAGAATTCCAGAATTTCAGAATCTCAGAATTTCAGAATCTCAGAATTTCAAAATCTCAGAATTTCAGAATCTCAGGATTCCAAAATCTCAGAATCTCAGAATCTCAGAATCTCAGAATCTCAGAATCTCAGTATTTCAGAATCTCAGAATCTCAGAATCTCAGAATCTCAGAATCTCAGAATCTCAGAATTCCAGAATTTCAGAATCTCAGAATTTCAGAATTTCAAAATCTTCAAAAATTCAAAGTGTTGAGAACTTCATATTTCAAAATTTGAGAATTTCAGAATTTCGAAATTTCGAAATTCGGAAATTCTGAAATTCGAAATTCAGAAATTCAGATATTTGTTTTTTAATCCAAAAAAATCACAAATTCTGAGATTTCAGAAATTGCGAAAATTTGAAATTTAGAAAAATTTAAAGCGACTCAAAAAAAAAATTAAATGTGAACATTTTGGGGAATTCTGAAATTTTAGAATCTTTAAAAAATCTGAAAAATTTTGAAAATTCAAACGACTGGAAAAAATCTTAAAATGTGAAATTCCAAACAAACTTTGAAAATCCAATTGGGAAATTTCAAAAATTAGGAACTCCGGAAAGTTTCAAGATATTTAGAAAATTGAAATTTTTGGATTCCAGAAAATCGAAATTCCCAAAGTTGAAATAATTCAAAAATTCTGGAAATCCGATTTCCAGTAATTTCGAAGAATTCAGAATCCCTAGAAATTCAAAAACTCGAAAATTTGAAAAATGCAGGATTCCAAAAATTCTGAAGCACAAAACTTTCAAAAATTCGGAAATTCCGACCTTTCAGAACATTTTTAAATTCGACCAAAAATTATCAAAATTTGGAATCATTTGGAAAAAATGAATCAAAGTTCTGGATTTTTTAAAAATTCAAAAATCGAAATTTCGAAAAAAAAAAGTGTCGACTCACATAGAAAGGCATGGCCGATGACGAGACGACGAGGAGGGCCAAGAAGATCAGCAGACACGTGGATCGCATCTGAAAACTTGAAATTTTCCGAAAATTTTTTTGAAAAGTTGAAAATTTTTTGAAAAACGAAAAAATTAACATGAAAAGATAAAAAGAAATGAATGGGACACTTTTTGAAAATAAAAAAATCGAAAAAAAAATTTTCAGCCAAAAATTTTCAGCTCCATATCGAAAATCTAAGAAACTGCTACCATTTTATATAGCTGCAAAAAAAACCAGGTGAAAATTAAATATTAAAAATTTTCGTGCTAAAATTATCTAAAAACGCACACCCTCAACTCTGTACGTCGTTGCTTTTTTCACCTGTTTTTGATGAGCTCAGCAGTAAGCATAGGAAAAAAGGGGGCGGAGCTTAGGGGAAAAATGGGCGGAGTCAAAAAACATTTTTTTTTTCCAATTTGGAACTCAATGAACTAGGAGGGTTTTACAACACAACTATAAAACTAGGGATAAGTGGGCGGAGCTTTGGGGGTTTTTGGGCGAAAGGGGCGTTGCTTAAGCTTCTTGAGACTGACAGGAAAAATGATGGATTTGAGGGTTTTTTGCGGAGAGAATATGACAAAAATGACGTTTTTTTTTCCGAGAAATTTTGGAAGATCAAAAAATTGAATATGAAAAAAAAGATGAATTGATGGACTTTCTAATTAGATCACTAATTTATTTGGAGATAAAAATAAATTTTGCATGATATGGCCACTGAAATTCTGAAGTTCTGAAAAGAAAATTGGAAAATTTGGCTTTTTGAAATTTCGAAAAAAAATTTTGTAACACCAAAATTTGAGGAATTCCAGAAAATTTTAACTTTCGAAATTCGGAAATTCTGTATTTTGAAACTTTTGAATTCAGAAAGTTTTCGAATTCGGAAACTTTTAAATTCTGACATTCTGAAATGTTGAGATTCTGAAATTCTGTAATCCTGGAATTCTGAAAATCGGAAATTCGAAAATTCGAAAGTTCTGAAATTCTGAAATTCTGAAATTCTGAGATTCTGAAATTCACAGTTTCAGAATTTCAGAACTTCAGAATTTCAGAATTCCAGAATTCCAGAATTTTAGAATTCCAGAATTCCAGAATTTCAAAATCTCAGAATTCCAGAATTTCAGAATCTCAGAATTTCAGAATCTCAGAATCTCAGAATTTCACGATCTCAGAATCTTAGAATCTCAGAATCTCAGAATCACAGAATCTCAGAATTTCAGAATCTCAGAATCTCAGAATTTCACGATCTCAGAATCTCAGAATCTCAGAATTTCAGAATCTCAGAATCTCAGAATTTCAGAATCTCAGAATTTCAGAATCTCAGAATCTCAGAATTTCAGAATTTCAGAATCTCACAAAATTTCAGAATTTCAGAACCTCAGAATCTCAGAATCTCAGAATCTCAGAAACTCAGAATCTCAGAATCTCAGAATTTCAGAATCTCAGAATTTCAGAATCTCAGAATTTCAAAATCTCAGAATTTCAGAATCTCAGGATTCCAAAATCTCAGAATCTCAGAATCTCAGAATCTCAGGATCAGAGAATCTCAGAATTTCAGGGTTTCAGAATTTCGATTTTCGGAAGTTCAGAATTTCAGATTTTCGGAATTTCAGAATCTGAGGATTCCAAAATCTCATAATCTGAGAATCTCATAATCTCAGAATCTCAGAATCTCAGAATCTCGGAAACTCAGAATCTCAGAATCTCAGAGTTTCAGAATCTCAGAATTGCAGAATTTCAGAATCTCACAGAAGGTCAGAATTTCAGAACCTCAGAATCTGAGAATCTGAGAATCTCAGAAACTCAGAATCTCAGAATCTCAGAATCTCAGAATCTCAGAATTCCAGAATCTCAGATATTCAGAGTTTTCATAATTCTAGCATTTTCAAGAAATTTGAAGTCTCTGGATTTTTGAGGATTTCGAAATATCAAAAAACTGAAATTTTCTGAAAATTATAATTTTCCATGAAACTCCTTTTTTTCAAAATTGTCCAATTTCAAATATCCAAAATTTAGGATTTTCAGAATCATCATGATTTCAGAAATACAATTTCAGCAAATTTTTGTTTGTGTTTACTATATTCAAACTATTGCTTAGATCACGATGATCACCGTCATCATAGAATAATGAGTCCAATTTTTTTTTGCATTATCCCAAAAATCGCTCATTTACGATTTGTTTTTCTTTTTTGGTCAATTTTTGGTGTTTGGGACATGAATAAAAAGGAGAAAAGTTTCTTCTTTGAAAGAGAAAAGAAAGCGATGAGCTGAAAAGTGGAAAAACAATTTTTTAGAGATCACCCAGTGAAAATTAGGTGAGCAGAAGAGGAAAAAAATTAGAGTGACAACATTTTTTTTGAAAAAAAAAGAGGAGGTGTAAAAGTTAAGTAAGTACTAGGAAAGAGGAATAATTAATGATGAAAACTATTTTTGAAAATTTTAAACTTTGAAGTTCTGAAATTCGCGAATTACGAATTTCAATTTTTTTTAGATTCTGAAATTTTGGAATTCGATGTTCTGAAATCGTGAGATTCTGATATTCTGAATTTTGAAGTTACCAGAATTTCGAATTTTGGAATTCTGAAATTCCGAAAATCTGAAATTCTGAAATTCCGAAAATCGAAATTCTGAAACCCTGAAATTCTGAGATTCTCTGATCCTGAGATTCTGAGATTCTGAGATTCTGAGATTATGAGATTCTGAAATTCTGAAAATCGGAATTCGAAAGTTCTGAAATTCTGAATTTCTAAAACGCAGAAATTTCTTAAAAATTGGAAAAAAATAAATCCAGATATTCAAAATTTCAGAAACTTAGAATTGTCAAAAATTTGAAAATCTGAAAAAACACCAGAGATTCTCAAATTTTTAACTTAAAAAAACAATATTTCAGTTTAATCCAAAATATTTATATTTTCAAATTTCTGAATAATCTCAGAATCTCAGAATTTCAGAATCTCAGAATCTCAGGATCTCAGAATCTTACAATCTCAGAATCTCAGAATCACAAAATCTAAGAATTTCAGAATCTCAGAATCTCAGAATCTCAAAATCTCAGATTCTCAGAATTTCAGAATCTCAGAATCTCAAAATCTGAGAATCTGAGAATCTCAGAATCTCAGAATCTCAGAATCACAGAACCTAAGAATTTCAGAATCTCAGGATCTCAGAATCTTAGAATCTCAGAGTCTCAGAATCTCAGAATCTCAGAATCTCAGAATTTCAGAATTTCAGAATTTCAGATTTTCATGAATTCTGAATTCTGACATTTGAAGTTACT